CATATGCAACACAAGTCGCATTTTATTTGAAGAGTGACTATTTCTGTTTTTTCAATTCCTCCTCCAAAATAATCTGGAAGGAAAATGTCACTCAATAGAAGGCTCCAACTTACCAGGTGATAGAGGAAAATCTTTTCAATATGTTTCCAGAAATGAGAAGATGAAAAAGAAATGCTGGCAAATAAAGGATACTGATAGGCAAAAGTATGAAGATTGAAAAAAATAGGGATATTTTGATAAACAGCTAATTCCTATATCTATGTGATGGCTTTCAGACATCGAGGGATAGGTCTAGACATGAAGGAGCAAGGTAGCTTTCATTTGGTAATAAACTGGATGAAAGATCATATTTTAAATGATTTGCCTTCAAGCATTTGCTGCATCAAAATGTTGACAGCATCATTTTTCCAAGAGATGAGCAAGTAAATTAAGTAGTTTCCGAGTTGTAAGTATCTTGATTACCAAGGAGCAATGGGACACAGAGGCTGACCAGTGGAAACAAATGATTGATCACTTGGAGTTAACACTTCTCCCTTTATTTTACCCTGCATGGCTTGTTAATTTTCTATATTAGTTTAAGCTTTCCTATTATACTGAATTCAGGGCCACATTCTCTTATCATCCTTACAGGAATTTTGATTGCTTATTTGTGGATAATAATTATTGCTTTCATGGAATCCCGAATGCAGAAGACATGAAAAATTCCATGGTTGATAGGCAGCTGGTACAAAATACAGCATGTGACAATTGCTGTCTTGTGACAATGCACAAGATAACATTTGGCCCTAGAGGAGACCTGTTAAAATTACTTAAGTCATTTGTTATTATCACAAAGCGGCTCTAAGCTGAATTCATATACATCTCATGAAGTCTTTCTGGTTCTGTTTTCATTACACTTACAAAGGTCTACTTGGGTATATTTTATACTTCTTCGTTTGTAGTGTGGCCCTTAGCAGCACAGGGAAGTCTGGAAATGGTGAAGCCTCAAGAATTCCAGAGGATGTCTCCATCTAGGCCACTGAATTCCTTTAGGGACACAGATAACCAGAATCCCTGAATTTACCAAGCAATTGTTATTATTTCCCTGAAAGCATTTTATGGAGTATTTTGAGAAGAAATCAGTATGCTAGTTCCAGCATGTCAAGTGGATCGCAAAACTCATGGGATACATATATCAAATTCATTAGAGACATCAGGGAGAGGAAATGCAACTGTCTAATTAAATGGCTTTTGTGGGACAGGGCACTTGGGCAGTATGAGCTACTCTAATATGAACACATGAGATTCACACTATTTGAAGAGCTCTCCAGGTAATTAGCATGATCGAGCTATCTGAAAAAAGATTGGGTTAGGCCTGTAAAGCATCAAGCATCAGAAATGTAATAAAATTTCATTTTGGATTGGTAAGATTGGAAGGACTTGGCCAGATATCAATATTAAGCACAGGTGATAACAGCCACCCCTTTAAAAAGATTATCTATTTTTATTGGAAAGGCAGATTTACAGATGAAGGAGAGTCAGAAAGATCTTACATCTGCCGCAGCAGCTGGAACAGAGCTGATCTGAAGCCAAGAACAAGGAGCTTCCTCCGGGTCTTCCACGTGGGTGCAGGGTCCCAAGGCTTTGGGCTTTCTTCCACTGCTTTGCCAGGACATAAGCAGGGAGCTGAATGGGAAGTCTGACAGCTGGGACACCATCCTGCACCCATATGGGACCCAAGGTGAGGGCTTTAGCTACTAGGCTACCATGCTATGTCCAATCACCGCCCTTATGAGAATTTCATTGCAAAATTTACTGTTGAGCTCTCAGGAAGTGGTGACAGTCAGAAAAACTCGCATGCAGAGTAGTGGTCCTTGTCTCTCCCAGAATATTCAACATTTCAAAAATTTGTTGAAAATAAAAGGAATGGGGCCCAGCGTGATAGCGTAGTGGTTAAAGTCCTCACCTTGCACGTGCCAGGATCCTATATGGGTGCGGGTTCTAATCCTGGTAGCCACGCTTCCCATCCAGCTCCCTGCTTGTGGCCTGGGAAAGCAGTCGAGGACTGCCCAAAGCCTTGGGACCCTGCACCCGCGTGGGACACCTGGAAAGAAGTTCTGGTTTCCTGCTTCCGATCAGAGTGGCACCGGCCATTGCGCTCACTTGGGGAGTGAATCATCGGATGGAAGATCTTCATCTGTGTCTCTCCTCCTCTCTGTACATCTGCCTTTCCAAGAAAATAAATAAAAATCTTTAAGAAATTAAAGGAATGAAGATATCTTAAATCATTACATATGTTTTTTGTATTATGAAGTTTCCCTGAAATTTTAGAGATTCTTACATGTCATCTTAGTCCTTTCATTAAGGGAGCAGGTCAAAGGAAAGAGGATTTTAACCACATTTAGGTTCAGTTGGTGCCTTGCCTTGGACAGCTGTTTCTACTGTCTGTGAATACAAGTGTGACGTAGGAAAGATGGGGTTTCTTTCTGAGAGAGTTTAGTGACTGGCCATTACCACTGCAAGGCGAGCATTATCTTCTAAATCTTATCTCATATATTTAACAGCATGCTCCTCCTGCACGCGAACATTAAATGGGATCAACAGATTAATGTATCTTCTAATTGCAACATTCACCCTGGACAGAGCATAGTAGTGCCCCATGATTAAAACTGTAACTGCAGATTGAGTATTAAGAATGATTTTATCTTAAATAGAAGAAATCCTCAGATAGGACTTTTGTTCTTTCATCCCATTTAGAACAAAAGAGGCTATACAGATTGTCTGAAGCCTCATGTGCCAGTCCTGGCAGAGCTGTGATGCACAGCACGGTGTCATCACTGCACTCCGTGCTACGCTCTGACACTGACACACATGGATTTGGGTTTTGTTACACTGTGTAGTGATATTGTTTTAAAGTGTGTGCCTCCAAACCCCAAAAGATTATTCTCTCTTGAAGAAAAGGTTCATTACTCGTTTCTTGGACGTGAGACCCAATCAAATGTTTATTGGAAAAAAGATGAACGAGTGTGTGAGCAATTGCAACTTGCTTCTTTTAATCATAAACATGCAAATATTATAATTTTGAACTCTATGAATACTGGATGAGCTAGTAATGACGAATGATAGAGAGGATAGTAAGGAAGGGGAATGGAGATGAAGTTATACAAGGAAGCAGGCAGAAAGGGAAAGAGCACATAGCATGGTAGAAACATACCACACAGATTTAAGACCTAAATAGATTCCTAGATTCAATTTTGGAGCAGTTTATCAAGATACTTGCCTCTTCTGGTCTCTCCCTGCTTTCCAATAAGGACTTTTGAATCAGATAGTGTTTCAAGCAGTTTGCATTATGCTGCCCCTCTTAAGGTCTCAGATTGCAGAATTCATTGCAGGTTAAGTCTTATAAACAGCACTGTTGTTCTTCAGCATAGCTCACATCACAGTTGCTGCCACACTTCCTATCACAGAGAAAAGTTCATGTGACCATTGGGATCCAGCTTCTGTAATGTTTCATGTTCAGAAAGCAAGAAGCAAGACATGAAAAGGAATGGCTATTTCTGTATTAGCTTTTAATCTCAGTGACAAGCGAATAGAGAGAAGGTGACTGGGCTGCCTCTCCTTACCAGTCACTTAAAACAACGAACCTAATGGTTGAAAAATCCAGTCATCAACTCCTACTGTAATTGGTGTTGCTAGCTGGCATGTTGTAATTTAACACTAAATCGGCTTTTTTTAAAGGAAGAAGCAATAGTTGCAAAGGATTCAGGAGTCCTTGGGTATGAGAAAGTGTGTCTACAATACTGGACATTGCTAGGTAGCAACTGCTGGTTGGAAGGCTGCACCCAGGGAAGAGCCATCCGTGTCTGAATGTCAGTTTGTAGAACTGGCTTTGCACCAGTGTGCCAGCAAGACTGGATGAAAAACAGTGTTTAATCTTTTCTAAAAGTCTTGCTACACAGCTTCCAGCATACATGAGGCCACCCAAATGTATCTGTGGAGTTTTATGAAGATGGGCAACCATCTGTTTTGCATGAACTAGGTCATTTTGGTAGACAGATGCAGAGGTCAAAGTTTACAGCAAATACTCCTTTGCAACATTTGAAATTTAGCACACTCCTACATTCAGCACCACATTGCACCCATCACTTCCTCGCTCTGGTGTTATGCTTCCCATCTGATCCCTACCTATATCACATACATGTTCACATTTTGTCCCTGAGGTTCCCTATTTCTGAAATACTTTGCTCTCATGTGTTGTACACAGCTTCTTTCTAGTTCCCCACCTGTCCCCACCCTGGCATGTTGCTCCCCTCTTCACAAAGCTCAATGTTTACCATATAGCTACACTGAAATTGAATTCTCTGTCCTCCCTAAAGACAGAAATTCTGATCTTTTGGTATATAGAGTGTTAGTACATAGTAGGTGTTCAGTAAACATATATTGGGCTGTTCACAAAGGTTTTTGCAAATAAAAGTCATTGTCTCATAATGCCACAAAGCAGTTTAGGAAGACTTTTCAAGTGCTTTCAGAGGCCAAGTCAATCGCCCTCTCTGCTTTCAATTTACACGAAGAAACACAAGGAACCTTCAAGAAACTGAAGGGAAGCAAGATAACACCATTATCATTCAGCTCCCATCAGGGCTTCCAGCAACTTTTACCAAAACCTGTCCTCTAATACACAACACTAATTTGTATCTTGTGGAAAAATCAAATAAAGTGTTTTTCACCTGAAGGGAGCAGAATTATTTGACTTCAGATATTTGCCATATGGCTTCTCTCGCACACAACATTGCTTTGAGGCTTAAGGTAGTAAGAGCAAGAGCATGTCTATAAATTATTCAGAGATAATTCAAAATAAGTGTGTATCCTTGACAGATTGTCAACTTTCTTAATGCTTTTTCCTGATAACAAGTGCTGAGTTTTTGATAAAATGCTGCTAGTTTCTCATCACAATTTATTTTTGTTCTGTGTGTTTTCTCTGTGTTTTGTCGTTGTTTGTGTCTGTTCCCCCCCCCCCACAGAGTCCAGTCTGGCTCTTATCTCAGCACGGGGTGGTTTACCTTCATTCTGGCCATGGATGCCTGCTACGGCATTCACGTCTATGGGATGATAAATGACACCTACTGCAAGTAAGATCACAGGAAATTTTTTTTATGCAACTTCACTTCTGATATCTTGTCAAAATATCACAATTCATTTTAATATCATAAATTGGAGAAACAGACAAAGCAACAATTATTTCCTGGTGTTCTTTGTTGGCATGACATTTTATTGTCAGTGCATCAGATTGTGACTTTTCGGGTTGATGAAAAGAAAAATATTTACCACAATTGAATGCCAAATGTCAAGAGGGACATTTTTCCCTTCATTCTTAACATATCAGAGACTTGTGACTAAGAAATGCTCAACAAAGTTTAGTTCTATTTAATTTGCAAAAGCAAATCTGTCATTTCTGCCAGCTTAATGGCTTGATGGATGGACACTGAATCAAGGGTCAGATTAGATCATGAAGGATAAAATGTCCTGACACCTGGGAGGAATTGACAGTTTAAATAGGCTTTTGAGAAATTTTATTTCACTAAGTAAGTATTCTGCCATATCTGTTTAAAATGACTGTTCATTCACAGTATATTGAATACAGTGGAATTTAAAAATTATTTATTTGAAAGGCAGAGCTAGGGAAGATCGAAGGGGAGACACAGAGAGGCATAGAGAGACACACACACAGAGAGAAAGAGACCTTTTATTTTTTTTGTACACATCCCAAATGGTTGCAATAGCCATGCTTGAGCCAGGCAGAAGCCAGGAGCCTTCAACATTATTGAGGTTTCCCAGGTGGATGCCAGGGGGTCAAGCTGTTGATTCATTTCCACTGCTTTCCCAGGTACATTAACCAGTGGAGCATCCGAGTTTGAACGTGCTCTCATATAGAATGGAATATTGGGAGATTTGGATTAGCTCACTGCACCACAATGAGAGTCCCTGATAATTTGTATTTAGACAATAAAACAATCCTTTAATGATTCGTCAGGGTAATAAATTATATTTATCTACCTACAATTGACAATATAATGCAGAGAAGGTTTTAATCATATTGTCAAAATTTAACTGTTAGACACAATCTTTATGAGCGAATATTGCTATTTGAACTACAAGGATAGTGAAGCACAGATGAACTCAAAACATTACTATGAAAAAATTTTAAAAATCAATTATGTAAGAATATCAGCTGCTTCCATTATACACCACTTCCTCTTGCAAAAGATGACCGTATGTTTAACTGAAATTGGTCTGATGTATAAGTTTTATTTGATCTTTTAAGAGCACTAACCATCAGGTACATCTACCTAAAAGCTTTCATACCTAATAGTTTTCAGCCGAGTTCTTGGAGAAGAATCATGTGTAGCTTCGCAAGGAAATGCATTTACAAGAGACATAATGGATTCTTGTAATTGAATGCTTTAGTGTTCATCTAATGCTTTTTCCCCTTCTTCTATTTTTCTTTTCTAGGACAGAAGGGTATAGAAAAGTCCCGTACCACTACTATGAACAAGGACGTGATGAATGTGATGAATATTTTCTTCACGAACATGCACCATATGGGGGACATAGGTTTATCACAGAAAAGAAAGTGTTTGCTAAATGGGCCAAAACCCACAGGATTATATTTACACACCCGAACTGGACAGTGTCTTGATGTTGGTTTCCCTGATATTGTCATTACACTTGACATGACCATGATATTGCAACTGTGATGCTAATGAGGGTGATGTGAATGATGTTGATGGTAGAACAATGATGCTCAAGCTCCTATACGTTCTCGGAAATGGTTGGTAAATTTTCTAGTAATTTGGTCTGAGATTTGGTGGAGGGTGATTGTGCTCATCATGTTGTTTCTGAAGGTTCAACACGACATACTGCACTTTATAATTTAACTGGAATTCATGTGAAGGCCAGTAACATGGCAACTGTGACCTGAGAAATGGGAAGATTACCATTCAAGGTGGCTATTCAGAAATCTTAAACAATGATTTCTGAAAGTTATGGTATGTGTCCTCATGAGGCAGGGTTTTCGACTCCATGGATTCTTGAACATGAGTAGCTCCCTGACTTGAAGAATGGCTGTCACAAACACTGAGCCAAGGAAATACTATCAGATACAAACACCTTACCAGTTACTCATTAATCTGGGGAAGGGAAGGAATCTTCTTGATATGCTATCTTCCTATAGTACTTCCTACAGCTGAAACCTCAGGCCATTGCCTAATTACCCATGAAGACATCATGGACTGTTTACACATGGGAGTCACTTGACTGTTTTATAAATTAAATTCACAATCAGCCAAGTAGTAAGCCTTGACAGAGTTCCACTCACACCACTCCATTCTTTCTACCAAAAATATATATATATAACTAGAAGTTATGAGAATGATCTGTATTAGTGTTTAGTTATTTTTGGTAAATCCCTAAATATTTCCAAAGGCTATTTAACTTGTAACATATCCACTTCAACACTGTAGTAACATACTGTGAAAACATTCCTGAAGCGTAACCAAAGGGTTTCTCAACTCTGCTTCAATATCCAACAACACAAACATATATGCTTTTTAAAACAATAAAACAGGGAAAGTAAGGCATATTTTTACATCAATTTATATCCTATCACACACCATAATATATATTTGTATAATCAAATTTCTATATTCTGGGCCCAGTATGTTTCTTTTCATACATAGTATTGTCATTGCCAAGTGCCAATTGTTAGATATGCAAAAAAAAATTATTATTTGCATTAAATCTGACCAGAGCTTTTGCCTTCTTGTTGTTTGTTTTCCCCACAGTGTATGAGTTGTTATTTCATAATAATAACAAAGATTATGACATTACTACCCAAAGTGCTTATCATTGAAAGCCCCTTTACATATGTTATACCAGATGATTCTCATGACCACCCCATGGGTTACTGCCTGAACATTCTGCCATCTTTTAAACAAATAATCTGTAATATGTTAATTATTCTGATTTATTCTAGATTCTTCTTGCTAATACTTGTATAGAATAACAATTACATAGACTAGGAATCGATTGATATCAGTGCCAAAAACAATATATTATGTCAGAATTATGCAACAAAACATGGTCTTGGCCAAAGACTAAGATTTCTATGAGCTTAAGTAACTTTAATTTTTTAATGACTCTATTTAGATGTGGAAACGATGAGGAAACAGGCAACAGGAAATATTCAGAACATGAGAATATAGTTTCCTGACCCAAGGTTGAGATGACTCTGTTATCTATACACATACTCCCATTAAATATTAGAGGATTGCTTGGCTTAATGAATAGCTGAGAATCTAAAGATATTTACATAAAATGATTCAACATAGAGAAGTCATGCTCAACTTCTGGAGGTTGGAAGTAATCATGCATTTTGCCACAGGAGAATTGGCAGGTTATATCAGTGCTATGTAACATGATGAGCTATCGTTAAAATGTACCATCCTTTGTAAAACCCTCTTTCCTGCTCCCTTTGCTGTTTTTGATGCCTTAGTACCCCTCCATAAATTACCAAACTCCAGTTCCATTATTAGAACAAGCTATTATTTTATTGTTTCTTGATATGATTTTCAGTTCTGTGAATGTTAGTTTTGTTGTTGTTAATAATGAATAGAAATGCAAAGTAAAGAAAAAATAAATAAGAAAAGGCCTAAAATTGTAATTCAGGCTATTTTCCCCCTATTGTGAAACTACAGTCTGACTTTTCAATAAAAAGTAAATCTTAATCAGAATGCTTCAAGAAATTACATGATGTGATTTATTTGGTTTCCTAGTATCTGGAGGGTCAGCTTTCTCATACTGATGAGAAGCTTTCTAAGCTTTCATAATCTCCTGCCTCATCATAAGTCTCCTGACAAAAGAGGCATTTGCAGCACCCTGGCCTACTCACCCTGGGCAGGAGGTGTGCTTGCAACAGCGAGCTCCACACTTCACCCACGATTCTTTGTAGGGCTAGATGGGCTTTCTTCCTCTCACATCTCTGTTCCTTTATGTCATTTTTCTTCAAAGCTGAACTTCTGCTCTTTTTTTTAATTTTGTGTCTTTTACTTGTTTTTGTGAAAATACACACAAAAAATAAAAGCATTATTCTCAATTTGGAAGCCCAAAGGAATGATTTCCCTTTAACAGAATTACACGTTTTTTGTCTTCTATAGTCTTAATTATCTCTACTTTCCTTTCCTGTTTTGCTTTATTTCGATTTTCTAGTTTTTGGGAAAACAGTTTAATTTCTAGCATATTAACAAGAGATTTTTCACTCAGATTTACTGACAAAGGAGAACATACCTAGGGGCATTTCAAGGAGAGAACTTTGCCTTAAAAATACCTGGTCAGTTCCACAGGTTCCAATCAAATTAAAGAGATTTCTTGGGGCCCGGCGCGATGGAACAGTGGTTAAGGTCCTCGCCTTGCACGCCCGGGATCCCATATGGGCACCGGTTCTATCCCGGCAGCCCCCGCTTCCCTTCCAGCTCCCTGCCTGTGGCCCGGGAAAGCAGCAGAGGACGGCCCAAAGCTTTGGGACCCTGCACCCGCGAGGGAGACCCGGAAGAGGCTCCTGGCTTCGGATTAGCATCGATCGTTGCGCTCACTTGGGGAGTGAATCTCAGACGGAAGATCTTCCTCTCTGTCTCTCCTCTCTGTATATCTGCCTTTCCAATAAAAATAAAATAAATCTTTAGAAAAAAAAGAGATTTCTTCTAGAAAAATAGACTATGAAAAATGGCCATTATTTTTAATAAGATTTAATACATGCAAATATAAGCATCAGTATAAATAATATTTCTAATTCTTCAGAATCCTAGGGAAAACAAGTAATTTAAAAAGGGTTTTTGAAATTAATATTTGAATCTTTCAGAATTAACGTGATGACAAGTAATAATGATTCCATTGTCACATTGGTAATGTGAATAAGTAACATTTTAGAGCATATGATTTTATATTGCTATGAACCTCCCAAAGCATTTGGAATGATTTTGGAGTATGTGTTTATTACATACATGCATATACATATACTTATATATATTAAATGCACACAGCTAAAGTCCATTTAAGTATACATATGTGTATATATACATATGTATGCAGTATATGTATAAATATGAATATTCATACTCTATAAAAAGGCATACATGAAATACTCTATCCCTCATTGATGTGCATGACTCAAAAAAGTCTCTATTGCAGACTGTGTCTGAAATCTGTTGTTATATTTTGAATTCTGATGAGAAAAGCAAAATTCCAAATTAAATGTACTGATTGCTAAGAGCACATAAAATCATTTTCAATGTTGGTTGGAAGAATAAAACTAGGGAAGCCACTAAATCTAGAACTGAGGATGCAATTAGATACCACAGTTGTCACAAATCAGACCCCATAAGTATAGCAATCCGTATCGGAGGACTCTGTCAATTATAGCTTAGTGAAGTCACATTGAAAAACATTGCATGCAGCTTCATTCACAGTGAAGTAAATGAACACTGGTCCTACTATTCAAATAAGCCACTTGTTAGCATAAGCAAAACTCAGATTTGCATGCTTTTTATTATATAGCTAGAGAACTGTGACTATGGTGAAAAAAAAGGAAATTACATAAGGAGATTGCTCTTTGAGAATCTGGCATAGATCAACTGATGTGGGGGCAAGAAATAAAAAGCTTTCAGAGCAGACATACTCATTTCTTAGAAAAATGTACACTCAAGTATTTCATCTGGTGATATAGATTGGATGTTAATTATAAGATCAGGTTAATTTTGATAAGCAGGAAAATGTAATCAGATGGCTGATTCTTTTAAGCAACATATCCATGTAGCATTGATATGACATGTCTAGTGCTAAGAGCTTTGCTGTCCAGTGTCATTTGTCTGCATGTCTTTTTTTTTAATTTTTTTTATTTTGATAATCTATACATAGTTAATTAGGGTAAAAAGGTTCAAGGGCTTAAGGAAAGTGGGTAAGACTATTATTTTTTCCATATTGTTTCCTTCCTGTTTAAAGGGGGGTATTAAGGGAGAAGGCCCACCCAATTTCCCACCCTCCCCAGGTCCCGGATTTAAGGCATGTTCTGAGGTTCTTGCTCAAGTAGTTTTGATATTTCAATAGTTATGAATCACTGCCAATCTTGCCTCTCCAAGCACTATGAGGTCCTTGAAGAATCCACTGATTGACATAGTCCATCATAGCTGAGATGGTTGGTTGACCTGTTCTGTCTTCTCTCTTTTCTTGTTTATGGTTCTGAGGGGAGATCTCCAAAGATACTTTGTCTGAGGTGTGCTCAAACCAGATTCTTGTATGTCCTAGCAAGTAGAGGCCCTGCCACAGTTAATTGCCCCGATCAGCTGGTGGTTGCAATTGCTGGGTTGGTTCTGTTTTCACTCCCGACTTCCACTGAAAGCAATGGGTATTGCAGTCCAGCCTGGTTCTGCCCAACATATACACAGCCCTCGCAAAAACCAGTGGGGGCTGCAGCCTAGTTGGAGCGACCCACAATAACCCCCACCCGACCCGCCCCGTACCCTGGTTTGCCAGCATGTATAGCAGTAATCCAGTCTGTTCCACACCCCATTCCACCCCAGCTGCTGTCCTAGTTTTATGCCCTCCTGTGGTCTGCATGTCTTAATACCACAAATTTATTACATTCCCAGTGCATGGGGGACAACAATGCTTTGGTTTT